CTTCCTTTCCTTTAGTCTTTGCAACTCACTGTGGCTATTGTGTATTCAGTGGCCAGAGTTCCCCACCTCTGTAACTGCCTTGAGGATAGGCGCCTTACCTACACGTTTTAGCAGTGTACCTACAGCAGTAAGCAAAATGCCTAACTCGTACAAGATTCTTAATGAATAACTGCTTAGTGAATAAAGCCAGTCTAAGCTATTAGTGAAAAAGCTGCCATTCCCTCCATACAATTCCCCACAATTGACATTGTCTGATTTAAATTACATTACACTACATTTCTTCAACATTTGTAAATGTAATTAGCACTGGAATTTATAGAATTTTGTGCTTGATTACATGTGCTTTTGAAAATATTCTTTTTATTATGCTTTTCTTTTTTCCCCTAGTTATATGGTAATCTCTAGTATACTTTTAAAGAATTATAGCTTTATCATCAGGTAAACACAATTACTTAAACTCATAACACAAGTTAAATTGCTTTACTCCCTAGATTATAATGATTGAATGTAAATATGTTTTTCTAAAATGTTTTTGAACAATCTTCAAATAAGTACTGTTGTACTTTTTTTTTTTTTTTACTATCAATTTGCTTATTAAATTCTTTTAACGTATGATACAAAAGAAACACTCATGCAGCTCCTGTCAAGTTATAATTGGTAGAGATAGAAATAATAATTTCCTGTTGTTAATATCAGAATTTATTAAATAGAAGAAATATTATTATTCATGTTTGGATTGTAGCATTTTCCAGGGACTACAACAATAATTTTGTTGGAAGGGAGGAACATTCTTGTAAAAGTTGCTCTATATAAATGCTGGGGAGGGGGGTAGGAAATAAAGATTCTTGTTATTTTGTGAGGAATATTTAGGGCATGCAGCTTTCTGACAACTGTTCACCCTGTTCCCCTACATTATGCAGTCTTATTTCCAGACCCTAGAAAGGAAAAGGAACTAATAATAATTGGGAAACAGATGGAGCAGCAGAAGCTGCGAGAGGTCATGAATGTGCCTCCTAGGGAGCTCAGCACTGCCTGAGCTGGTCAGCGCCCCGAATGTGCCTCCCAGGGAGCTCAGCACTGCCTGAGCTGGTCAGCGCCCCGAATGTGCCTCCCAGGGAGCTCAGCACTGCCTGAGCTGGTCAGCACCACGAATGTGCCTCTTAGGGAGTTCAGCACTGCTGCAGGCTGGCCAGAGCTATGAATGTGCCTCCCAGGGAGCTCAGCACTGCCTGAGGCTGGTCAGCGCCCCGAATGTGTCTCCTAGGGAGCTCAGCACTGCCTGAGGCTGGCCAGCACCACAAATGTGTCTCCTAGGGGGTTCAGCACTGCCTGAGCTAATCAGCACCATGAATGTGTCTCCCAGGGAGCTCAGCACTGCCTGAGCTGGTCAGCACCCAGAACAGCAAGATTCACTCTACACATAGGGTGAGCAGGTGCCTGCAGGTCATCTCTGGTCAAGCACAGTCTTATACCACTGTCCCCATCACCAACAAAAGAAAAAACCTACACCAGGTATCAGGCAAGCTTCTGGCTCTCGTGTGCTTCTCAGGGGATTCACAAAATAATATCCTTGTAAAAAAATCCCGCTACAACTAAACAGAGAGCATCCTTCAAAATTCTCTGTAAATACATATAACAAGTGGTAGATAGGCAAAATAATTTAAATATATAAAATCTAGGGGTTGTTTTATGGACGTTTCTTAGGGACCTTTTATCTGTTAGCATTTTCTAACACCTTACCCACCATCGACTTAAGATCTCATGCACATCTTTAGCAATTAACACTTCAAAAGATATTCACCAAGTAATCTTAGTTGAATATTTTCTCCATTACATTGGGTTCTCCTGGACCTTATGACCTCTTGGATTTAACACCAATTCTAATTTTGGGAAAGGGGTCATCTACAGTGAAGGGGAGAGGCTTTGGCCAATGGCAAAGGGGGTTTAGGGCTCCACCCTATGAAGCCACATGACTTTTGTAATTATCCCTATTTGTAAATGAAAGTTTACTCCTTTGACACGCTTCTCTTTGTGAGTGGACAAAAAAGCAGGAAGTCACACTGTCTCTGTTTCAAGCACTCACATATGATACTTGCTTTTATAAACTGAAAACATATTTTTTGAAAGCAATGCAAATAAACATTTTATAAGGCTCATTTCATACACTTAAAAAAATTGTGGGTTTCCTGTTCGGACTACACACACACACACACACACACACACACACACACACACACACACACGTCTCATATAATATTAAACCTTGGGGAGGAATACATTTCAAGCCTAAACTTTATGTCAAAAAGTAATTCTTTTCTTCAAGTTATGTCATTTTGATTTTAAATATATGCTCACAGGCAGAATTTCTTGAAAGCCTAACGTGTTATTTTTACCCTTCTTTTCAGCATGACAGGTCTTCAAATTGCTGTAGATGTAGTTATGATCTAAATGTGAATAAATCTGAATAATTAAGCTACTTTGAGGTTTTTCTAAGCAGACTGAACATATAGTCATAAATGAGTTTGTCCTTTCTCCCTTTGATCAATTTGACGGGCCATGATATTCAGTGATGGTGACTAGAGAAGGACTTGCTGGAAAAATACTCAAGTCATTTACCACAAGGGAGCAGAACCGAAAGGCCTTATTAAAATAGGTTTTCAACACTTAGAGGATTTCCTGTAGCCCTTAGGCTAACAGTTCCCAGGTTAGAACTCATGTCTGCACTCCCATCTCCTGCACTATTCTTTCTCTGCTCCAGATTTACCAACTGTCTAAATTCCTTGGTTGAGCTGTGCTTTTTCCTGTGTGTTAGATAATCTACCAGGAACCTTCTATGCCAAACCCTCCTGCTCTCTTCAACTAATTAATCCTTTGAATCTCAGCTCAGACATCGCCTTCTTAGGAAAGCCATTTCTAATCATGCCTCTCCCACCCACACTCGCCTACATATATACACACCAGACTAAGTTAAGCCCCCAAGCCCTTCCTCCCTATAGTACTGGGCACTTCTCCTTTACCTTCATAGCATTTGTAACTCTTGTTTAGTGTTTGTTTTCCCCACAACTCTGCAGCAGTAGGGGCAGAAGACAGCGTATCCCATCCTCAGCTGAATTCTGAGCAGAACACCTGGCACATAGCAAGTGTTATATGTATTCTGAAGGAAGGAAAGAAGGAAGGAAAGAGGGGTGGATGCATTTCCCTTTTCTTAGAGCATTTGCTTTTAAAAGCATGTCATTGTAAATTCTTTCTCTGTTCCTTTGAGATATAAATTTTCCTTTAGCCTTTGCAAGTTTTATAGGAGAGAAATTTCTTTCTCAGTGACCTGGGATCCATCCCTATAAAATGCAATCACTAAAAATGATGGATTAACCTGGAGAGTATTATACTGAGTGAAATAAGCCAGTCAGAGAAAGATTTATATCACATGATCTCACTTATAAGTGGAATCTAATGAATATGATAAACTGACGAACAAAATAGGTCCAGAGACATGAACGCATGGAACAGACTGACATATCTAAGGTGGGGGAAGAGAGATGGGAAGAGATTATACAAAGGACTCATATACATATATGCATAACCAAAGGACACAGAAAATAGTGTGGTGAAGGCTTGGGGTGGGGGAGGGT